GAGCTACGATGACTGCATGCAGGGTACATATCACGTCCTTAAACTTTTGTAGGAAGCAGGCTACAAGGTCTCCAAGAAAAAGGCTCAGATATGCCAAGACAGGGTCAAATACCTTGGTTTCCACCTGTCACAAGGACAACGCCAGCTTGGCCCAGAAAGGAAACAGGTGGTATGTACCATCTCTGTCCCCACTACTCGGAAACAGGTTCACGAATTCTTAGGGGCAGCAGGCTTCTGTAGAATCTGGATCCCCAACTTCTCTACTATAGCCAAACCCCTTTATGAAGCCACAAAGGGGGGTGAACATGAACCTTTTCTGTGGGAGTCTCCACAACAGAAAGCTTTTAATGAGCTTAAATGGGCTCTCATTCATGCCCCTGGCCTAGGACTCCCAGACATCACCAAGCCTTTCTTCCTCTACGTACATGAATGTACGGGAACGGCAGTAGGGGTCCTTACCCAACTGCTAGGGGACTGGCACCAGCTGGTAGCCTACCTCTCAAAACAACTTGACTCAGTGTCATTAGGATGGCCATCTTGCCCGAGGGCACTCACAATAACGATCCTCCTCGTGTCTGAGGCTGACAAGCTGACCCTGGGTCAGGAATTAACTATCCAGGCTTCGCACTCGGTTCGAACCCAGTTAGATTATAAGGGACACTATTGGCTTACCAACTCCCGGATTGCCAAGTATCAAGGGCTGCTGTGTGAAAACCCACGAGTCCACCTTGAGATAGTATGGACCTTAAACCCGGCTACTTTACTGCCTATAGGGCCTGGGCCCCCAGACCATGACTGCATTGAAGTCATGGGTTAAGTGTTCTCCAGTAGGCTGGACCTGACTGACCAATCTCTTATGGACCTCAATGTAGAATACTACACTGATGGTAGCAGCTACGTCCAGGGAAATAGACGGTTGGCTGGATACACTGTGGTAACTCTACACACCATCATTGAGGCGAAACCCCTCCCACAGGGGACCTCGGCACAAAAGGCAGAGCTCATCGCCCTGACTCGGGCCCTTCAGCTGGCAGCTGGGGTAAGAGCCAATATTTACAGCGACTCTAAGTATGCCTTCACTACCCTCCACGTTCATGGGGCTTTATACAAAGAAAAGGGATTAATCAATTCAGGAGGGAAGGAAATTAAATATGGACAAGAGATTCTAGATCTCCTAGAAGCAGTATGGGCACCCAAAAGGGTGGCAGTCATACACTGCAGGGGCCACCAAAAGGGCGACACCATTGCAGCCTGGGGCAATCGCAAGGTGGACCAAGCAACCAAGTTAGCTGCAGCCGAAGAAACCCTCGAACCTCCAATGTTCACAGCCTCCCTCTTTCCCAGCCCTTTAGCCGAATGGGATCCCAAATATTCCCACCAAGAAGAGGCCTGGTTCAAGACTGAAGGGGGAAGCCGTCTCCGTAACAGATGGTGGGAATTTCGAGGCGGCTGCATTGTCATACCAGGGACTCTAGCCCCAGCTTTTGTCAAGCAGTTTCACCAAAGGACCTGCTTTGGTCGGAATGCCCTAGAAATGACCCTCAATAGGTACTTCTACATACCCCAACTCTCCAGTATCTCACGAATAGTCTGTAAACAGTGCCTTGTTTGTGCTCGCAACAACCCACGTCAAGGGTGGATCC